ATAGACTGGTTGGTAGAGAATAAATCCCAGTGTAAAGTTGTGATTTCATTTCCAGACATTGCTAGTAAAGAAAAATTAGTTATGTGTTGTTTGGAATAATTGATATTAGTGATAATAGGCTCCTTAATTTTTCTGGCCTATTTCAGGCATGGTTTTTTTTTTTTTTTTACCAGGAATTGAACTCACGACCTTGCATTTGCCAAGCAGGCACTTAGGTCACTGAGCTAAACCCCCGGCGAGGCATGCTGATTTTAAGATTAAAAAAAGTTTGTATTAGCCCCTACAGCAACTGGTTGTTCAATGTGGTAAATAGGTGTTTTAATTGCATAATTTTGAAAATGTGCATTTTGCATTTAATAGATTGCTGCATAAGCTTTACTCAGTTGTTTGAAAACTGCTAGCTTTCTAATAAAGAAAAGCCTCGTCTTTAAATCCCATGAACAACAAAAAGTGTCTGCAATGGTTATGTTGGCTATGGGGGGTGTCAGGTCAGGGATCACTGATCTAGCTGACTAAAACCAGTTTTATAACCAGTCTTACATTGTTCATACAGTTATAAGCTTCTTAACAGTCTTGCCAAATCAGTTTGGCTTCAGAAGATTCCTGGGTATACATTCCAAGTAAGATTTTAGCATTGCGTTCAGCTTACGTTCTTATTATTCCCTTTCCAGATAAACCATTTAATTTTATTTCAACTATAAACATTTGTATAGATTATTTTCTTAAATAGCTACTTGATTAATGAGGTGGGTGGAAATACTTCTCATGAATATTGGGCCTTAATTTAAGTTTATTTTCAATAACGTTCAGAGTAACAAAAAGTAGAAACTGCAGTTCTTTGTTTTTTTTGGGATGGGTGGGTATACCAGGAATCGAATTCAGGACCTCAAGCTTGCCAGGCAGATGCTGCATCACTGAGCTAAATCCCGGGATTTTTTTTTTTTTTTTTTCCTCTGAGACTTGAATTCTGAACTGTTTTTTTAAGGAAAGTATTCTCTTTAGTTGAATAACCCTAAATTTGCAGGAAAGTTAAAAAAAAATGACTTAAATAATTTTTAATGCTTTTATTTTAAAAATAAATTAGATCATTTCAAAACAGTATATTCTATTCCCTCATGATAGGCTTGACATAGCTTTAACAATTTTAGTTCATATTATCCCTGATCTTAGCTGTACAGTTTGTTACTATGCAAATGAACTCTGAAAATTTTGTCACTTAATTTTATAGTGTGGTTATCTGACTTTTCATACGTTTTTCAAAAATACTGATAGATTTTGCTTGACATAGGCACTTGTTTTAAAGATTACTGTTCTAGCATATTGGGAGCTCATATGAAACCATTTCTTTTTGACAGTTTGGGTTGCCATGGTAACTGGAAACAAAAAGTGCTGTTTATCAGGAACTAGTGACAGCCCCCCCCCCCCATAGCACTGATAAAATTCTTGCCTTCCTTTGCATAGGATGATACTTAGACAGTGAGAGCCCTGGCTCCCTGCTGAGACTCAGTTAATCGGCACAGTGTATCAGTGTATCAGCCGTAACAGGTAGCCACTGCAATGGCACACTCTTCAGGTAGGAGAATCTGCTGTCTCACACCGCCTTCGCCCGCATGGCAGCATCCCAGCCCAGCTGCCTAGGAAAGGAGCTGAGGCAAACAGACCTTAGAGGGTGCCTTGGCATGATGGCGTTTTCCTCTCCTTCCTTTCTCTGCCAGCTACATTTTGGTATATTCACAGGCAATTGTTTCCTGCCTGTAACTTTGCAGAAGATGATAAAAGAACATAGCTTTCCTCTCCTTTTCTAGAAAGACCTTTTAATGTATGAGATGTAATAGTTGCTTTATGTCTTAGAGTTTAAAGCGTTTGTAGTAAAAGTGATTCTGATGATTCTGAAAAAAAATGCACAAAGCTTTTGTCTTTCTGAAAAAGAACAAAGTTTTATGTAGTGCTCACTAAGCATCTGTTACTGAATTCGATCGCCTTATTGTACTCCCACTGTGTCAGCCTTGGTCCTTGGTGAGTCCAGGGAGTGTAGAAGTGAGTATGTTTCTCTGAGTTCCCAAGAATGATTGCAGTGCAAACAGTACTGATTATCTGAATGCCAAAAACCAAACAAAACAGGCAGTGTAACTTGCTAAAGTTATAGAAAGAGAAGGAACCATTGTAATTTATTTGTAGAGGAACCAGGAGAATTTATTCTCTTTGCTGCTGTTGTAGAATTAATTATGAAATTGGTGTGATCAGGTGCTGGTGGAGTGAAAGAGGACTTGGAGGTTGGGTAGAAGGGCTGGGGTTTCTTTGGAAGATTGCAATCCAGTTGCATGTAGATGTGGGACCAGATGATGGGGAGCAAATCTTTTTATTGCTTGAACCTTCCACAAGAGTGGAAATGGTTAGATAGGAAGACAGCTATTTGTTTTAATTTCAGTAAATAATAGGTTGTGATGGTCTTGTGTCATGAAAGAAAACAATAATGGTTTTTCTATATGAGATGATAGACATGTGTTTCCAGATTGAATGAGATTAATATATAAATGATATCTGGAGATTTGGAATATAGGAAATGAATATAGCAGGTACTAGAACACAGAAATTAAGACTTTGGGTCATTATAAATTGTATAAAGTGGAACTATAGTTTCAATCTAGAATATTTGGTTTATTCTGCTTTTACTTAAATATGAGATATAAAGAAAAGTATTTGTCCTGGTATGAAGGTCTCTAGCTTGTTGTTTAAGGTGACTGACTATAAAATGGATGTTACCTGGATGTTGAAGCGGAATTATTCAAAATCTAAGATCCTGGAATAATTTTAAAAGCTTAGTTAATACTTCATTCCTGAGCATAGATTCAGGGTCTCAATCTCTGTTCAAGTCCACATTAAAGTAGAGATGCTAGTTAGAGATCTGTGACACTCAGATTTCTTGCTTTCCTTTTGTGGCTTTTGGGTATAAAGATCTTGATGTTCTGCAGAGTGTTTGTGAAAGATGAACCCTTCAGTGGAAACTCTGCATGATCTCAGACTTACTGGGTCTGGTAGCACTGGCGGTGGGAGCATCTGTCCACTGGAGAGTGGACTCCAAATCCTTGCTTCTTTCTCTTTCTTGGCTAGTTTTCTCTTGCTGTTGAGACAAATTTTGCAACACCCAAAATTAAGAAGAAAAAAAGTGTATTTAGCTCACAGTTTGTGGAGGTTTCAGTCCATAATCGGCTGGCTCCAAGGCAGGGTGGTGCGGCACAGGGCAACAGTTCAGAGTGGTAGAAGACAGCAAAGCAACAAAGGCAGAAGGGAGGAGAACACTCCTCTTCCTTATATTGTAAGCACCCCCCCCCAGCACTCTCAACACCTCCCTTTTTTTTTGGTCTCCCTATGTAGTTCAAGCTGGCCTTGGGCTTAATTTGTAGCCCAGGCTGGTCTTGAACTTGCAACGATCCACCTGCCTCAGTCTCTGGAGTGCTCGGATTACAGGCGTGAGCCACCACAAACAGTTTGTGCCCTCCTCTTGCACAGGCTGAGGATATTTACAAAGGACGGACCCTGGCTTCCTGCTGAGTGGCTTAGTTAAACTTCTAAACCTCTCAGGTTTATGTGATGTATCAACCATTACAGCTCTTAATTTACAATGAAAAACCAGACTGTGGAAGAATTTGTCTGTGTTGTCAAGAACTTGTTAGGCTCAGACACGTTCATTCTGAGGAGCCAGGGGAAAGAGTAAAATGAAAGCCATTTCCAGTGTATTATGATCACTCTCCCTAGAAGGTTGACTGTGGGCACCTTCACTTCTCTTCTGAGGCAGTAGACATTGCTGCCTCAGCTTCATGATGATCATCAGCTGTAATGTGGAGTCTTACCTTTATATTGACACTGCTTTACTGTAAAAAAAAAAAGTATGTTTTGGGGGGTGAGGGAGGGCCTTAGAGAACCTAGGGATGGAATCCAGGACCCTCCTGTATGCTTGGCGCTGAACTGGATCCTTAGCCTGTCTTTTCTGGGCCAGGTTGGTGATGGTGGTGGTGGTGGTAGTATCTTAGCATGGTATTAAAAAGGGCAAGCTTTTAGGCTCCAGCTGTAGAGGACATCAATAATAACTGCCCAGCTACTACCATACAAATGTAATTTCAGAAAGTGCTCTTCTTCTCAGAAGGAAATATAATTTGGTTTATTTCATTCTGCAACTGGTTCCTTGGTTTTCTTTATATTGAAAAGTAAAATGTGTTTAGGTTAATATTTAATTGTAAATTATCCACAAGAGTACATTAGTTTTCTCTTTTGGTTTAGGTGAAAGGTCCTTTTAACATAATAAAACTAGCACCTTTGTGTAGTCTGTTTTCTCACAAAAGTTTTTTCTCTCTTGGTTTAGGTGAAAAGGTCCTTTTAAATAATGTAATAAAACTAGTGTTTTTTTTTTTTTTTGTTTTTGGTCTTTTTCGTTTTTATTGGTACCAGGGATTGAACCCACAACTGCCTGCTTATAAGGCAGGTGCTTATGCCGCTGAGCTAAATCCCCAGCCCCCAGAACTAGTGTCTTTTGTAGTCTGCTTTGTCACAGAGCATTACTTAAAGCCAAAGTAGCACTTGGCAAAGCCCTGTCTCTGTGGGAGCCTCTGCCTAAATGAGTCCTTCCTTCCTTTGTATTGCTGTGCAGTCTCTAGCCAATAATTCCTGTTATCTAAATTTGTTCCTCTGGTTGTGGGTGGTCCTATGGGATTGACCCTCCCTGGAGAGTGTATTGAGGCTTTATCAGCAGCATGAACACCTGCCTGGCAAGTGCAGGTCATGAGTTCAACCCCAGTCACCCCCCCCCCCCCCATAAAGAAGCAAATGAATTATCTCCCTTTAGCTTCAAGTTACTTACAGCATAGTATCTCTGGGAAAGTGGCTTTTAATACTGTGAAGGGTATGCACTGTCATTTATGTACTTAGGCAGTGGCTGTATGGGTTCTATCTTTATACCCGTAAAGGTAAATGCCATTGTTTTAAAATTTCTTTTTCTTTTAAAGACTGTGTGTATATCGAGAGTCGGAGGCCAAACACACCGTATTTCATCTGTAGCATTCAAGACTTCAAACTGGTAAGCATTTTTAATGTGCTGTTCCTTTTGCTATGTCTTCCTTTCTGGTGCCGTTGGCTGTCTGTTGCGATTGCTTCTCCATCACTGCTGATGTGATAACCAGTCTGCCTTCAGTGCCGACTGCCTCTTGGTAGTGCTCTGAGAGAAGACTGGGGCTGGTTTCATCCTTTCACTTTGGTAACACTCAGTGTTGTAATGCTTTTCTATTGTAAGTGATGTATCTGAAGTATTTATTGCTTTAGTAGCTATTTTGACACTTTCAGGTTCTCTTGAGTTTTTAAAGTAGTTTGTTTCTTCTTAGCCATTGTTAAGAGCCTGATGTCAAGTTAAGAATTACCCAGTAGGGTAAATAGTATAAACTAACCAGACACTAATTTATTGTAGTCCGCTGTCATTTTCTTTGATAGGTTTGTTGGTGTGGAGTATACCCTGAACCTGTTTTGGGGTCTCCCAGAGGTAGGATTTGGGAGGAGGCACGCATAGGTATTGCGCTTTCTGATTGAAACGTTTTCCTGAGTACCTTGGTTTGGATATTGCCCATTGTGAAATCTCTTGGTCTTTATAACAGTGGTTCCTAACAGCGTGGGCTTCAGGCTTCTAGATGTTTGTGAAAAGTTTTCACAGCTCTACAAATAAACATTCTCACCCTTAAGGACATAACTATACCTAACAAGTGTCTATAAACTGTGTTTACAGGTTAACATGTTGTATTTCTTCAAAATTCACTTTTAAGAACAATATACAATAAATAATCACTTGATTACATGTTTTCTTCAACCAACCAATATGTGAAATAGTATCAAAGTAGCACGATTTGAGAGTTTTTCTGAAACATTTTGATCTTAGGATAGGATTCCTGAGGTTATAAACCATTGTCTATACTCACATATAGATAAATCCTAATTCTTTGGCTTTGTAGATAATGTGTGAGTATCTGCGAATGTCCTATTTTCCAAACCCTATGTAAACCTACAATAGTTGTGTTCTGGAAAGTACTGCATGTGGTATGTGTACAGAAAATTAGTGTATTAGCCTGAGAAGATCTTTAAACATGTTCCTCCTTTATCTTTTGTTATCATTTTCAGTTGTCCTAAGCATCCAGTTCGTATATTATGACTCAACTAGTCAACAAATTGTATGATTTTTCCTTAAAAGTTATTGCGCCTGGAGATACAGCTTAGTGGCACAGTGCCTGCCTGGCAAGCACAAGGCCTTGAGTTCGATTTCTTGTACAATAAGAAAATAAATAAATAAATAAATAAATAAATAAATAAATAAATATTTAAAAAGCTATTGCATATGCAGTGTGTACCTCCTGTTTGAAAGAATCAGCGGTGCCACTTGGTACTCAGATTGATTTATTCTTGGTAGGCTGCTGTACTGTCTCTGGCTGTTTCCCATAGAAGCCTTGCAGCTTAATCTTGTAAATCTAATGCTTTATGTTCAGTTTTCATTTCAGTGTGAATTTTTAACATGTTTGGAAATCTTTGCTCTTTATTTTATCTTTCCTTGGAAAGATTCTTTTTACAGATACTGCACTGACACCTGAGAATTTGGGAGTTTGCCTTGATTCCAAAAGAGTTTTATTTTGGTTATGGCTGCTACTACTGCTCTTTTCCCGCTTGTTGGCTGCCTGTGTGTGTGTGTGTGTGTGTGTGTGTGTGTGTGTGTGTGATTTTTACTAAACGTAATGCCAGTGCACTATGGAAAATATGTGGCTGTGCAATAAAATTGCCAAGTGTTTTCTTTTACCTATTAGATTCTGAGCCCCTCAAAGAGATGTTCTTTCATACATTAGCAGGCACCTTCGTGTTTGAACAGCATCTCTTATGCCATGTTGATCATACTGTGATCGCTGCTGTTCTGGGCAGGGGTTCCTGCTGAGTTACAGTAATTGCGGAGGGTATTAACAGCAATAAAACCTGAAGCTTCTGTTGTCAGCATTGGTCTAGTGCAGCACATTAAAGCTGTCTGCGAAAATAGGTAGGAAGTGTTCAATGCCTTTTTCTATATTATACACTGATGCTTATGGTTTTGTTTGAGGTTCTGTGCTCAGTACATCACTTGTAGTTGATGTGTAAGAATAATGGAGATGATGAAATAATTTGCTTCTGGAAGAAATGTAATTTTCTTCTTTGGTTCTCCATACTTAGGAAAACTAACCAAATGCATGAGGATAATCAGGATTTTTCCCGGTGTAGTTTACCCAAGCAATAAGGGAAAAGATGAGTAAAAGGAAATATGCTTTGTTTCTCCACAAGATTTTAAAAAGAAGAAATTGGAGTTGGTTTTGCCTGCAGCAAGTAACTGACAAGTGCAGCAGTAAAAAGTGGAAAGAAAAATCTAATAGCTTTGAAATGCTGAATAATTACATATTTGATCTTTTTAGCCATTATGAAACAGAATGTTGGGTTGTGATTGTAACTGAGAGATTTTCTTTATACCAGAAAGCAAAGCTAACCATTTTTCCATGGTGGATATTAGCAAATAAAGCGTATTTGGGAACTGTAAAAAGAACTGGGTGGTACGCTTCATGGCACACATGGCAGTTTGGAATTGTCACGAGGTAAGAGGACAGTGTAACAGAAAGCAGATGCTAATGAGCAGAATGTGGGGAGGGGAGACACCTTCCACTAGCTATGGGTGCTACCACAGCGTGATGCCAAGTGATAACTGGGAGGCCCTGGGCAGCTGGTCATGCACTGGTTTCATGGGTGCTGAAAGGCTGCATTTTATGTGGAGGCCTGACTGTCATCCAGGCTCTCCCCGTACACTCCCTTGGGGTCTGAGTCCTTGCCCAGAACAGCCACGTCTGTGTTCTGCTCTGTGTCTTAGATTTGGCCAGGCTGTTTCCACAGTCTCTACTGTCACTGTCAGAAGTTTCTCAGTTTGGACAATAGGTCCTGTGACCTTCCTTTCCACAGGCAGGAAATCCATGGCTGTGTTCTGTTAATGTCGAACCATCACAACACATAAGGCCACCATTGTCCCACACTGCTGGATTTATTTGTAGCACACAACTTCCACAGGGGCAGGTGATTGCAAGATAGTGCAGAGTAATTAAGTTCTTAACTGAACAGAGGTTTTCAAAGGTAGCACTTTTAAGATGTGTGAGTTGGGGCTGGGGATTTAGCTCAGCGGCGTAAGCACCTGCCTTGCAAGCAGGCAGTCACGAGTTCTATCCCTGGTACCGATAAAAAGGAAAAAGACAAAAAAAAAAAAAAGCTGCGTAAGTTCTGAGTTACATAAGGAAGCTTTTGTTCTCATTTGATTGGGCTTACTTCCACAGCCGGAGGCCTGGTTTTGTTGAGGACACTGACTTGGAAGTTAGCTGTGGAGGTGGTAGTATCTCCTTAAGTGGGCTGCTGAAGTGAGGTGGATAGTATGCTTAATGAGAAGCAGGAAAGAGAGGAGGGGTATCAGCTAAATAAAGCTCTTTGGCAGCATGGACTTGGATACCTATCTCATGATGATGCGATAGCTGGCAGTATATTTAGCTCTTTAAAATAGTAATAATATGGGATGACAGTCTTTTGGGGGTTTTTTGGTTCTGGCTTGAAAAGCTTAATTGCAGCCAGTTTTTTTCTTTTTCTTTTCTTTTTTTGTTTTTTTGTCTTTTTCATTTTTATCGGTACCGAGGATCGAACTCACGACCGTCTGCTTGCAAGGCAGGTGCTTATGCCGCTGAGCTAAATCCCCAGCCCCCAGTTTTCTTTTTAATAATTTAGATTTGGAGCTGGGCATGGGGTGGCACAGGCCTGTAATCCCAGCCCTCTCGAAGGCTGAGGCAGGAGGATTTCAAAAATCAACCGAGCATGAGCAACCTCATGATTTAGTGAGACCCTGTTTCAGGCTAAAAGAAATGGGCTGAGGACTGCGTAAGTGCAGAGGGAGGTCTTGGGTTCACTCTCCAGTTTACCCCTTGATCCCCCGAATTTAGATTTGAGAAACTGAGTTAGTCAGAGGGGCAAAGCTGACAGAAATGAGTCAAGAAATGCCCTAATGGGAATAACAAGGTTAGGGTGAGCGTGGCCAAGCTCACATGCGAGGTTTCTGACAGTAGGGGCTGCCAGGGGAATCTCCTGTCTGCTGAGTTCAGCTTCTCCAGTAGTTCCCACCCAGTAAAGATGTCTTTACTTGGGCTTAGATTGAGCGGCTCTGCATTCATTGGAGCTGACCGAGCCGAGAGTAACATCTCTACCCCTGCCTTCTGCTGCCCTGCCATAGCTTTCCTCGGTCACTCTGTGACTTTGTTTGCCCCGAGAGTCTTCTTCCTGTGTGAGTCAGGGATCATCAAGGAGTATTGAGTCCCAGAGTACAGTTAGGAATGTTCTGGGATGATCAATGCTTCTAGCTGGCATGTATTGAAAACCTTGCTTTTGTGTTCTTTGTTGAACTCCACACTATAAAGGGGGGCAAAAAGTGTGAAATACTGTTCTTTCCTTCAGTGATCTTAGATTCTAATCGAACGTGCAGTTTGTGTCATTGTTAAATGTCAGTCTTTTTTTGGAGAATACTCTCAATAAGATTGAAGGAAGGAAGAAAGCCATTTACTTTGCTAAAAGAAAAATTTATCCCTTGTGTTTGCTAACACCAGTAAAATTCCTTTTTATGGGAAGGAATAGACATCTTAAGCATTCTAGACATAATTTGTCTAGAAATAATCATGGAATCTAAGAATGCTCACAGAGAAAATCACTGAGATTAGTAATTCTGGTTCAGTGTAACTGGAAGGAATTCCTTACAGGGTAATTCCTGCCTAATTTCTTTGTTCATAGGTCAGTAATTGAAGCCATCCTGTTGGTGTCCACGGGGTTTTTGGCCTTCTCTGTGAGTGCTTGAGTTGCCCTCATTCAGACCGGGGTGGGGGGGGAGTGTATAGCTTTTGGCATCCTGGGGTTATGTAAATGTGACCTTTTCAGCTGTTACAGCAAGTGAGCTTGTAGGTACAATATGTAATTATTATGCATACTATCTTAGGCAAATACCACTGATTGATT